ATAATTTTTTAATAAAACTTACATATATCTTTAAATAAATATATATGATGTTATGAATCTTAATAAAATAAAAAATTAAATATTAAATAATATATAATATTATATAAAAATTTTTATAAAAATATTATCTTTAAATCAATTTTCATTACCATGTAGTCTGTTCAGATATTCTGGAGTATGGCCGAAAAATTCTGAAATTTTGGATTTGTTCTCATTAGGCGGCTGGGCAGGACATGGACAAACTGGCATAAACTGAAGCCTTGTGTGGTCTTAACTAAATCTAATGCACCAACTGAATTATACATGTAAGAATGTAGGGTCGGGAGTCAGGAATTTGGATGGGCTCCTGCATTACTGCCTCGTTATGCGTGTTTAATTCGTAACCTCACAAGGAACTTGTTCTCCCATAAATGTTAGAGAGTCTGGGTCCCGTTCAAAAATTATCATAACAAGCTACCGACTTGCTCAAGCTTGTAAGAGTCTTTTGATTTGATGAATCATTCTCTGATTTTCCAACCTGTTACTGCCGATAAAGGAGACATATTTTTCTGCTTATTAACTGTTTGAAATTAACAAATATCAATTTAGACAAATTAGATGAAGAAAATATTTATTATTGTACATTAACTATTTAATATCCGCTACACTTAAACCTTAATCCAAATACATTTACAGGAATTGTAGAAGCCAATGACCTAGCAATCATGTTTGCATTTCTGAATATGAGCTAAGTTTATCTCTCTGAAGGACGGAGGATCGATGAGCAAGAATTTAGGAGGGACCATAATTTTTTTCCTATTATTATATACAAATATGATATAAATTACAGTATTTATAACATAGATAGCATAAATTTTTAATAATACTAACCTATAAAATACTTCGCAAAAATTTATTGTTAAACAATAGTTTATGATAAATTTTTAATTTTTAACTCTATTTTATATGTTCTTAAATATTCATATATGATAAATATAGATTCACTAAAACTCAATTTAATTGTATGTCAAATTAACTAATAGTGAAAGAAGTTAAGCCATTAATTTTTGAATCCTAACAAACAATACATGAGTAATGTTATCAAAGATAGAAAATGTAAGGTTTAGTTAAAATTTGGATTGTTATTCTTCGCATTAATTAAAGATATTTTGATTTATATCAAAGATTATGATTGTTAGAAATTAAAACTTGCAAAACAAATACCACAATTTCAAAAAGATGTAAAAATAAATTTTGTGGAATAGATGTCAATTTAAACCTTTTCTCTCACACAATTAGAAGACAAAATCAAATTTATAAAATTTTGGCACTCATAGCCCAATTAAAAACAAGAAAAAAAAAGAGAGAATAAATAAAAGAAAAAAATAACAAGCATAATCTAAAGAAACTAAAATAATAAATGAATATATTTTTAAAAAAGGTATATATATATATTTTTTAAAAATCTTAAGGTGGGGCGATGGCCCTCCCTAGCCCTTAATATCCTTCGCCCAGCTGGCAAGAATTATGCAAAGAATTACTCCATCATATATCCAAAATAGAGGTCGGTTTGTTTGTTTGCATACAGATTTCGATTTATATTTTTTCGGTGAAGAGAATAATGTTTTATATAAGTTAAAATTAAAAGAAATTTTAATTAAATAAAACTATTCAATAAAATTTATTTATTAAAAAAATTCAAACTCAAATCAAATAATATTTTATTATTTAATAATATTATAATTACAATGTCATACAAAATTACAAGTTTAAATAAAAATGACTTAGTATTAAATAAGTAAATACAAATAATATTACATATGAATTATTGAACTAAAAAAACTAATTGTATAATAAGAATGATGTTGCAACTTTATATTGTTATATGATACTATAACTATAATATTTTTGTTTTTATTTGCATCAATTGACTAGCTTTAATTGCTTAACCATTTAAATTTATAATTTCCACTCTAAATAAAAAAGCTTTTATATTAAGTGGTTTCTAACTTTGTTAAACTCTTCTTTATGTGGATATTCGCTTAACTAAGCAATTGTTAATATTTACTATTAGGATATTAAATTGGCATAATTTTGGGTACTAATATCTACAAAATTATATTCAATTAAAAAATAACAAGATATAGAAACATATAGGGTGGTAATTGAAAATTATTTAAAAATAAATTTTTTTTATAATTTTATGTGTTATTTAAATAATTAAATTTTTTTGTTATTTAAGATTTATAATATTAAATACATATACTCATTTAATCACGTATGAAAATTATATAAAAAACTTGTCACTATATTACTGTTGAGGTGCTATTAATATATGATTTTTTCTCAAAAATTATATTATATGAATTTCATTTAATTTAGATGTGCAGTGGTACATGACTATCAATGTATAGCATCTTTCTGTGATGGAAGCAAAGGGTTGAGGACCACCCCCTCGGAATGATTGTTTTGGGTGACAATGCATCAAATACCTGAAAACAATAGGCATTTAAGATGCTGTTACCTTTTGTTGATCAACAGCACCATACATTCGTCTTTTTCTCTTCTTTCTTTTTCTATTCTTTTCAAGAAACAGTGAAAGCAGGAAAATGAGAAACAAAGTCCTCTAAAACAAAACTAGTTACTTTTTTTCATTAAAAAAAAAAGAGAAAAAAAGACTACTTTACCACAAATTAAACATTACAGGCACCCAAGAAATTGTGGTTTAGTTAAGAAAAAAGTTGCTCTTCATCTTGTTAATTAAGGGCTAATTTCTTGAAGAAATCAATGGAGAGCTTATTAGAGATACATGAATTCCCTAGTTTTGACATTGATAACTTGTTTTTAATTAAATAAGAGAAATTAATTTTATAGTATATGCAAGTTGATCTAAAAACAACTACTCATTAAACTCAAAAATAAAAAAAAAATAAAAAAAAAAAGAGGGAAAAGTGAACATTACACACAATGAATTGAGAATTATATACTGACTACATGTTTCTTGTTTAATATTATCTTCTATATAAGAAGGAAAAGCTACACACACAAAATGTTTACCATACAATATTATACACAACATGATGTGGTAATTAATGTACCATATGTAATTGTCTTTTTTTTTCATTCAAACATTTACTCAAATATCATATGTATTTATTCATCATCACATTATATAATACACAATGTAACATGATATTTTGCTTATAGCATCGCGGATGTAAGAAACATAATATTTTCACTGATAAGATGATTCTACATTTTCAAGTTATTCCAATAAAATCCATACGACATGGAATCATATCCACATATAATATTTGCTCAAACCACATACATACGTGTATATATATATATATATATATATATATATAATAGCATTCAATTTGGCAGAATAAGTAGGAGGGTCATTCATGAAGAAGACAAATTTTACAAAAAAGGTTGTAATAGTATATAGGTCCAATTGTGTGAAAATTTAACCAAGTGTTTTCTATGCCACAAGCATTTGGCCCTACGGCCCCTACCCCTTTCTACCATCTTGACTTCTTAAGTCCTTCCTAACCCCTACATATACCACAATTCCCCAATAACCCAAACTACAACCAGGAATCCCATTCTCTTCTTATCCTCAACTAATTTCACCTCAATTTTGGACGATTTCCTTTGTTGGTTCTCAAAAAATGTTGTTTCGTCTTCCATATTCTATCCATTAGTCCGAGTTTGGCATCGTCAAGTCTTTTTCTTTTTGTTGCTTCCTGTGCTTCCTGTTTGAGCTTTTTCCTTCTTGATCTTTGAGGGTTCCTAGGTGGGTCGTTTTCTTCTCTTCTTTTTGTTTTTGTGCAGTGCTGCAAATTCTAGCACTCCATGTCTATGATCACATTAACAACATCAACTAATAGTAGCACAACCCTTAACAATCCTGGTCTCGGTGAGGCTTCTTTTTCTTCTTACCTCATGAACAATTTCGAAGAAAAATTTGTTCGTACAATATCGGAGTCAAACAAGAAGATTACCAAGTTAGAGGAGCATCGTGATTACTTGGGGACGAAAAAAGAAGAAGAAGATGGAGAAATTGGGGTGTTTGGTGCTGAGAAGTATTTCAATGGAGTGATTGCTGAGGGAACACCCAGAACACTCAGCATGGATTCTGCAAGGAAGCATCACTATTTCAAAGCTGAAGAGATCGGATTAGATCCTATGAAGCCGAAATTCATACCCTATGGAACTCCAAGTGTTCGTTCTGAATCGAGCTGGAACAGCCAGAGTGCTCTGCTGCGGAGTATCATAAGAGATCCTTTGCGAAGGAAGACGAACAGGGTGCAGGGGAAGAGTTTTCTCTCCAGTATCCGCTGCAAATGCTATTGTTCCGATAAGGATTCGGTTGATGTCGATGAACAGATCGGGGAAATCAGCTTCAAAACAAGTACTGGAAAGCAAATTAAGAATTTACCCCGGATGAAAAACAGTTTCGACAACGGGAAACCATTCTCCGAACCATGGATCAAGGACGATCCTTTTACTTTCCCGACGGCAAATTCTGGGGTTGGAATCCTGCCTCTTAAAATCCCATTCCAAGACGAGGATCGGAAATCTCTGGAGGTTTTTGGCTCCCCGGTTCTGGGGAAGAGGAACAAGCTTCTAAACATTGAGAAGAGGATAAGAATGCTTTCTTGGGATGCAAATCCGACCATGGACGAGGCAGAATTTTCAGCAACCTGCAGACTAAACTGCAATGATACAGAAAGCGACGCGAGTTCGGATTTGTTCGAGATAGAAAGCCTGACGGGAAAACTAACGAACCCCTTTCTTGCCCGGACAGTATCTGACACCGCCACCTCCGGATGCATTTCACCACCGCATTGTTATGCTCCCAGTGAGGCCAGCATAGAGTGGAGCGTCGTCACAGCCAGTGCGGCGGATTACTCTGTGATGTCAGACTCAGAAGAGCGAAGGTCATCGGTAACAACTGCCACAAGTCCGGTCAGAACGTTTCCCCCTGCCTTGAATGGGAAAACTGGAAATAACAGAGAGATGCAGAGGCGACGCTCAAATAGCCTTTTGGGGTGCAAAAGCCAGAAAGCTCTAAGGGTCGCCGGCGATGTATACAGGTTGAATGAGAAGGCAAATTTTGACCCAAGAATGGACCGGGGTTCGGACTCATACATGGCTGGAAAAACAAGATTGCGAGCTGAAACTGAACTCTCAGGTTTTGAGTCCAGGCAGAGGAAACAGGTTCTGGCTGGTGCTGGTTCGCTGTCCCGATCGCACTCGCCGCGTGCTCCACAGCTTTTTTTGATTCAGTAGCTCGTGATTTTATTTGTTTGGAGCTTACCCTGGTTGTTCTTGTTATACAAATTTTAATGATCAAGATCTATGTCTGTACTACTGTCTTAAATTTTAGATGAACTCTTCTTTTTCAGTTTTTGGCTATATTGGTTCCTGGGATTAAATCACTTATCTTAACCCTAAACTAAGAGTTTTAAGTTAATAATTTTCTTTTCATTCATTTTGAGTTGCGTAAATGGAAGGGCAACAATCTCTAATTCATTAAGCAACCCACCTGCAAACCTAGGACCTCACAGTGATTGTCTCTACATGGATATTTAACTTGTTTATAATATTCCCAAAAACTCTAGATTATAATGCTATCTTCAGGGATATAAACAAGCTAAGTTGACTATCAAAATACTCAAATCTGAGCTCAGCTTTACTATAATGTTGTTCGTGCTGAGCTCGAGTTTTGTCAAATTCAGAAAAATGAAGCTTGACCAAAGTACGGATCAAGATCGAGCTACTCAGTTTATTTACAAATAAGTTAAATTATATTAAATTATATAATTTATTAATTTTTTATCCTAAACAACCTACTTGCAAGTAATTTGCGAGCTGGACAATGAGTTCAAAGTGGAACTTGATTATTTGTCGAGTTTAAAATTGAATTTGAACTCAACTCATTTTTTAAATTTATTGAGTTTAAATTGAGTAATTTACAAATAATTCACAAATTGCTCAATTTACTTACGATCTTAGTTATGTTAAAAGCAAACAATCTAATATATATATTGGTATAGAAATTGAAGTTAAACTAATATCGGAACTTAATCAATCCAGCAAATATGAAACCTAGTTTTTAATTACTTGTCTTTGCTTTGGGTTTGGTAACTTGCATTTGGATTTGGAATTCATTTGAGAATACCTTTTATGAGAATACTTTTCATATTTTTTAATACAGTACTTTGTTTAAAAAGGTAATTTTAATTAATAATTTTATATATTTTTTCTAATTACAAGTATGATTATAGAGTAGTATAGTTAGAGGTGACAAAATTACACTCGACCCTGATTCAATTTATAAAAACTGAGTTAAGGTTAAATACTATTAGACCTGTGACCCATTTGGGTCAATCCAAATGGAGCATCAGTCAAATATAGATTAACATGTGGGTTCACAGGTTGATCTGTTTATCTTGATTTTTTTTTTAATTTAAAAAAATATATTTTTATAAAGATAATTTTTTAAGGCCAAATAATTAACAAATACAATTTTTTTTTAAATCTAATATGATGGTGGTCATTACAATTTATAAAACATTTTAAATGAAGTTGATTATATTCATTTAAAATTTATAAATTAAGTATTGTATATTATATATGATTATTGATAAAGAAAACAAAAAAAAAATTAAATGAATTATTCAAAATATTTCACAAAAAAAAATCATTTTGCTTAAATTGATTAAATAGAGAGAAACAAAATTATTAAAACAATAATTATAACAAAGTTACTATGATTTAATTTAAATAAATTAGTATTAAAATGTAAATAATTACATAAAAGATTAAAAAATTCAACTTGCAAGTCAACGATTCGGGTTAGTGTCAACACTTATTAACCCGCAACTCGTATGTAACTTAACCCGTAAAACTAGTGACCCGAGTAAACCCAAACCAAGCTCGACTCTATCCTCCCGTTTCCCACCTCTAAATATAGCTCAACTTTCTTAATCTTAGTTTGAAATTGTTAGGTTGTAACTCTAATTGTAATTATTAGTTTTTTGTTTTTTAATATTATAAAAATATATAAAATATATTTAATATTTATTTTAATTAACATTTTATATATGTTTAAAATAATAAAAAGATAAAAAATTAAAACCAACCCACTTAAAAACATTCTCAAATGAAGCCTTCGTGTATACATTCAAATATATGTAAATACATTTAAATATATGTAATTTAAATACATGTATGTTAAATAGAGTTGTGAATTATGTTGTTTGAATATATTAAAATATTGTATATGAATTTGAAATTAAAATTTATTTCAAATCACTTTCGGCCTGCTCTAAAATTAAGGCACCATTAGGCCACATGCATAGACTCTAAGTGAAGCCACTATTAAGGTACCATTGTATAAAATTAAGGCACTATTTAGTTGTTGGCAAGCCACCAAGAACTCTAAGTCACTCCCGAGCTGCCTAAACCTCAAGTTACTCCCCACGCTATCCCAAAGCCTAAGTCACCCCTTAGTCGTTCTTGACAACCTCGAGTCACACCGAAGCCAACCTAAACTAAGTGTCATATAATTCCCTGAGCTACCCTATACCCTAAGTCACCCTGCGTCGTCTTAGAGAACCCCAGGTCACACTCAAGCTTCCCTAAACTAGGGGTCACTCCTTAGCTGCCCCCTGCTTCAGTTACGCCTTAAGTTACCTCAGGTTCTTGAGTCACCCCCAAGTTGTTAGGTAGTGACCATGTCCAAGACAGACAGCTTGGGGTTAGCTTGAAGCGAGAACCAAGATTCACAAGAAGTTAAATTGTAAGGTACATGGGAAATCTTGTAGGAAGGAAAAGGAACTAGAATTATACTTATTTTATACCCTCAAAGAGTTACCTCAAATAATTAAGAATTTGAAACTTTGTGTTATAAATCTTGCATTTAATTGTTGAGATGGGTGGAGAAGGAATTAAAAAAATAAAAGATTATTTTTTATTATAAAGCCTATTATATAATATAAAAAAAATTATACTTATTTTACTCTTTGAAATACAATGTAAAAAATAATAAAATACATTCATTTCAGTAAAAGTCAATTACATGTCCACTTCAAAGGTGGGAGATTTTCTTACGGAGCTTAATCCATGATTAGAAAGTGTTTTCCTGAGGTCCAGCCAGAAAAGGTGATGAGAAAAGTGGCCAATGATCTAAAATCATTTTGGGTTTCTTTTTCTTTCTATCCAACACACCCTTCACAATCTTAAAAAATGGAAAGCAAAAGCCCTTATGATTTTCACACTATTTCCTAGAGGAAAAAACTCTGCATGATTTTGTCCCTAAATCTACGGCGGATAACCATTTTCTTTCCCAATCACTCCCCTTTCCTCCCAACCATTGGCAGAATTTGAAATTAAATATCTTCTAACACAAAATCTAGTTTAAGCCTTTTAAATATATAATTCCCGAGGAAGGAATGTTGTATAAATGGACTCGTTGAATTAATTCAGTCACATCTAAATCTGTAGAGGGGAATTTAATCATGTAACAATCCTCCAATAAATTCTGCAACCACCTTATAAATAAGTTGGCCCATGATTTTGGATCATAATCCATTTCATTTTCACATTCACTTTCAAATTTGCCCACAAAGTCTCACATATACCAGATAAGAATCATGCTGGAACCATCAAAGGAACAGCAATGTGTTGGTTGATAGATTCCAACACAGAGCCAACGTAGCTTAATAATAGTAGTAGCGAGCGGCAGATACTGTAACTGGTGCCATATTCTTTAATTTGTCTGGTCCTTTGAAAGAAATGTATGCTTAGCAGAAAGAAAAACCAAAAATAATGAGAAATGATAATACATAGTTAGTCTAATTTTAGATTTCGTAAAAGTTCTGTATAAGTTGATCTTCTCTCCACTTCAAAGGCAACAGTTTTGGAGCTTTTGTTTCTAGTCCTTTAAAAATTGTTCTTCCTAGTCCTTTAAAAATTGAAAACAGATTAAAAAAAAATCAAATATCTTTTCAAAAATTTGCATTTGGTCTAAGCTCACCTGTTACAGCAGAGAATATATTTTAGAATTTTGACCATCCGGCACTTGAGTGTAGCACAGACAAAAACTCATGCGGACCGTATTAGGAAGCAGGAAAAGGCATTATCGCTTAAATAATCATTCTCTTTCTAAACTTGATCCTTTTGAAAGGATGGCACCATTGGAGGTAATAATTAAATTTTAATGTAAATATTTTACAAAATTTTTTATATAATTTAAATTATATAATTAAAATTAATAAATAAAAAATAAACTCTCAATATTAGAGATTTTACTTCATTTAATAATTTTATTTTAGAATTAGATGCAATCACATGATTCTCAATGTTTTAATAGATCCCTTTTTCTCTGGCCTCTTCAAAGAAATCAATGCCGCTGTTTTTGTAGGGTCCATTGCCCAATGTAACAGCGCAGGGGCAGCCATGTGAATGATGGAAACAAGAAAAGAAATGAAATGCTGAAGGTAGATGAAGTATAAATGCTAAGAAACAATATCTAAATATTTTCACACATATGCCACGTACAAAAGGAATGATATCAAGAGACAATTGGGCGAGAAAAATATGTTTGTGGTTGCAAAGGGTGAAATTTAAAGCTGAGAAATCTGATATCAAGTAACTATAACCAATAACCTGATCCAAGTAGAAGGAATTCAGTTTCTTTTAATTAAGATATTGAATTCAAATCTTATGAATGAAAAAACATGCGTTGAAAGAATTTTTCCTTTATGGGGTTTAACGCAATTTGATTTTAAATTAATTTAAATTTAATATAGTTAACAAATATCAAAATGTTAATACATAAAAAAAAGTGACTATATATTGTGCGAAACATTTGGTCCCTACAAGAGAGAGAGTTTTTAGTAATAGAAATTTATGATAAATTTTGAAATCATCATTATAATTTATTATAATTATGATATATTTTTAAATTAGTTACAAATGCATATATATTTAATGATAAAAAAATTCATCACTAAAAGTATATTTCGTCACTAAAAAAATAGTCACAACCAAAAAATAAGCTTATGATAATAAAAATCATCACTATAATTCATTATAATTATGACAAATTTCAAATATTGGTCACATATACCCAAATGTTCAACAATGACAAAAAAAAAAAAAACTAAAAATATATTTCTTCACTAAAAAATTATCACGAGGCAATACTAAATTGTGATGATTAAAATAATTACTACAATTAATCACAATTTCGATAAATTTCAAATTTAAATATATTTGGCCTTTCACAAAATAGATAATGCTAATTTTATATATTAAAATAATTAAATTTAACAAAATTTATCTGTGCAATACATAAGTATATTTTTAATTTACTTTAATTTATTATTTTGTTAACAAATAATTGTAATTTTTAAACAAATTCTAAAATTAATTGATGCAAAA